AAATTTTTGCAGCCGGAGCTGGTCATAACCCGAAAAGTTCGTTAACAGAGGCATTCGTAACCCGAGGTACCATTGTATCTTAATACTCTGACATATTATGAAGGCACAATACAGTGATGTTCCTCATAATACATAATACACTGAACTGGACCAACTGGCATGAGTATCAAAATGCACACCATCCAGTTGCCTGTAACAGCCGGCATATTACTTAAATAATGTAAAGTAACAATAGCCAAACACCTGAGTCAACATATGCCTCTAACTCTGCAAACAGCAATGCAGAATTCTGGCACTATGATGGTAATTGATGGCTTCAGATCTGCCAGAGGTAAGCAGATATAACAATTATCAGACTCACTTGGCATATTCACTAAAATGGCAATGACAGCAGTTCAGGCACCACAGTAAAATGAACAATACAAGATACCACAACACAGTGTTTCAAGTTCCCCTTTCCATGTGGGAAAAGTCCCTCACCAAGGAATGGTGAAAAATACTCCATGTAGCACTGAAATGAGCCAATATGAATACTCTACATTATTTCAAAGTCACAGAGTTACTCAGGGAACTGGCAGGCTTGAAAAGATTCAAAAACTCTCCTATATAGTTAATGTGTGATATTAAACTCAAACCCAGTTACTATACACTGTCAAAGTTGCCATTTGCAATCTGAAAATTTGCTTAGCACTCTATATCACTGGGAGATTAGAAAATTAGAGAGAAAAAAATACTGGCCTAATTTCTTTCTAGATGCCTACCTGTGCATGTTAGGTTGAAAATGGTCAGGTACAATATGGGGAGCTAATCCTGTTGGGGGGGGGAAATAATTTTTTACCAAAAATTAAAAAGCTAAAGGTATGCTCTGGCCTCAGCCTTAATTACACCTTTTTCTAGCTGTTATAATCCACACTTTAAAAAATGTTCAAAGAAACATAAATTGTACCCTCTCTACTTGTGAAAAATTATGATACAGGTTTATGAGTTTATATACTACTTAAACAAAACAGGCATAAGAATGTAGCCCTGCTTCGTGTATATTTGCATTAAAGCTTTATCAGATGAAAAGCCCTTGCAAATTCCATTTTACTCTAAAAAGGGTATTATGATACAACTTATAGATTCTAGACAAAAATAAATTTTATATTATATTCTGAATTTATAAAAAAAATAATTTTTCATTTACAAGTTGTCATTTGAAAAATACAGACTATCAGCAGGAGTCTGGTAGTACCTTTTCGAACTAACAAATTTTATTTAAAGGCATAAGCTTTCATGAACAGCAGCATCTGATGAAGTGTGCAGCCAAACTCCTGATTTTTTGGCCACTATTGACTAACACAGTTTTCCTCCTACAGTGTCTACAACAAGAAGCCCTTCCTTAAGATCACTCTAGTTTTAAAATTTTGTTGAGTATTTTTGGTTTTTCAAATGGTGTATCTTGTACAGTAGATGGCACTAGTAGCGTGAAGTTCATACCATGTGTAAAAAGAACTGCCATGTTCATACCTTAAAGACATACATTAAAACATTTTACAATGCATGCATGCATGCACAAAATTAATATATACATCAAGTTTGCCATTTAGAAAACAAATCATAAACAAAAAGAACAGATAAATGTTGTGACACATTACAATTTTCCACTGCAATCCTACATACATACACCTAGATGAGCCATTTGTTTCAGGGGAGCTTATACTTAATAAGTGGGTAGCAGAATACAGCCTTCTTATAGTACAAATCTGTCAGGTTTAAGAAGTCACAAAAACTTATCAATGTAATGCAGAGTTTAGGTTTCAGACTTGGATTGGGAGATCCAGGTCTTCACTTTCATTTAGTAATTAAAGCCAGTACTCTCTCTTAACTCAACCTATCTCAGTGAAACTCCTATGTAAGCTACCCTAAGTTCTCAGAAAAAAATAAGATATGCTCTTCACATAGCCACACAATTATTATTCATTAAAATTTAAATATGATTTTGGCTTTTTAAAATTAATGGGATTTTACAATTAACAGACCAATTTAGAGTAAATTCATGTTCTATCTTCAATTTTACAATAAAATATATTGTTTTAGTCAAATTTCATCATTTTAAACAACAATTCAAATAAAAATCATGAAGACTTCAGCCTTCACTAAGATGTGCATTATTCAATCGGATGAACAATTTCAGTATTCTAATAAGGAATTTTTTCAGCAAACTGAGAAATTCGTATTTTTCTGAATCAGAGAGAATACATTAAAATTGGGCCAATCTCACAGTAGATTTAATAACTTTTGAAGTTTGTTAGAGGTCGTACTGAGATTAGGTATTTCAAACTGAGGAATGCATTATGATTGCATGTCAAATATTGTCTTACTTCTCCATAATTACAGGTTGGAAATCAGAATACCACCTGCCAATATAATGAAGGCCTCCATTATATGAATGAAAGGCAAGCTCAGTTCTCCAAAGCCTTAGGTAAGCAAGCAAAATAAGGAGACACATATGAGGAAGGGGCTTAATTCACAGTATAAAGGCCAAAGTACAGACAGAGTTCTTTTTATCTCACAAGATCAACTACTAAAATTCTCAGCTGCCAAAAAGTTTAGTCCAAGTTAGTAGTCCAGGCTAATTTTTTAAACACCAAATAGGCTTCAGGAAAAAATAGGAAGGGTGCTCATGACAATATAGCCATCACTGTTGGATTATTCTTGTGCCCTATTTTTTTTTTTTTACAAAGAATATAAAGTATAACTTCAAAATCAAAACTCTATAGGGTCATCAGAATAGTTAGAAGAATATATAGACAAGCCATGCTCTTTTCCCCCCATAAACTACTTTAATAAAATTGTAAAATATATTGAAACATACCAAACCAGCTGTAAGTGATGGAGCGGATTGTCCCAGTGATTGATTTCTCATGCGGACCAGATTTGATGATTCTCCAGATGGCTGCCCTATTGAGTGTGCTACTCCACTGTGCATACTTGTGGATAGTGGAAGCAACTGCTTTCCTTTAAGGAAAAAAAGTCCATTTTAGTTGTTAATTCATCAATTTGTAACATAGTTCAATTATAGAATAAAATGAATGAGCTTTGAGGAACAGTTTTAAGGAATAGTTTTTAAGGAACAGTTTTTCTCTTCTATTGGAACAGTTTTCACACAAATGCCTTAAATCATATTGTTCCAGGATAAGAATTTTTACAATAAGAGCTCTGGATCACATATATTTAAGACACACAGCCATTAGTCTTAACAAATCTTTATCTGTTACGTATGAAACTGGATTGTATATATATGCGAATGATTTAATCATGCAATACTGTATGGCTATTATATTTTCGATAATTTGATATATGTTGTATAAAACAAATTTAATTCTATCATTGTTCTTACAGATTTTAGGCATACAATTTTTAAGTTAAACAGTAGTTGTTAATTTCATAGTCTCTGCATTTTTACTTTACACTTGTCAGACTAAAATCAAGTTATTATATGATAATTGCACTGCATTGTATTACATTATAATTACCTGACAAAGAGCTGGCTAAACTACCTCTCCGCAGCTTGCAGTCATCCTGACTCAGTTGACGATGGAGTTTACTTTTTCCAGTAGATGAAAAGATGTCAGGGTTGCTGAATTTTCGGCAGCGCAAAGAAATGGATTCTGTTACAACATCCTAGAAAAAAAGGCCAAAAGATAGAGTAAGCTTACCATCCAAAAGAGCAGTTCCACAGTCTATGAGCACCTGCACTGTCTGGATTCCCTCATAGCGCTGGTGACAAAAAATGTATTAATAAAAAAAGTATTTTTGTAATTTTAAGTGCAGCTATTCTATCAAGCAATGCTAATGAAAGATGTTGCATCTTAAGTTCTGTTTTACTCTTGTGCAGAAGAGAATTATACATAAGGCATCCTTGAAGTGTATTGGAAATTTCAAATGGTGCAAAATATGCCAATTAGGCTATTAGCTAGTGCATAATATTTGGACCTCATTACACTCAAGTTGAAAGATCTTATACTAGTTCTCAATTTTTTTTCTAGGCACTTAATATGTGTTGTTTTTGATCCTTAAAGCCTTAAATTGCTTGGGAATTTTTAATTGTTTTTTTATTAGATTGTAGCTGTTTATATTTTAGACTTATGTTACCCCACACTGAAGCAATTGCTAGTTGACCTCTTTTGCCCTGACACCAACTAGAACTGCCTGCTTAGGAAGAAGTAGGATCACTGCAAAACAGTGCCTTCAAGTCCTAATCCTCACAGGAAGTCCAGAAGGATATAATGGTCAGTGGTATAAAATACTACTGAAAAGTCCCAAAAGATCAGGAGGCGAGTACTCCGTCTATCCAGGTTCCGATGTAGGTCTTCAATGAATGTGACAGTGCAGTTTCTGTCCCTTACCCTGATTTGAATCTTGACTGAAAAAGGTCAAGAAATGTCAGGCCCAGTCCAGTCGAGTATAGTTCCTTTATTTGCTTACACCTCAAATACAGAATCTTGCCAAACTAAATATATACTACAGCAACTAGCAGATGTACCCTGGGAGATTCTAGGGAATGGCTACCCTGAACCTCTTACTCTTCCCACACTCCCCCTGCGGACTGTGTCTCCTTTCCTCTGCTGGAATGCACCCCCTCCTTCCTGATAGCCTCAATCTCCCACATCACTCTCCTCCTCATAGATACATTCCCTCACAAGAAAATCCCTTTTTTCTAGGGTGCTCTGCAGTTGGAGCTCCACCATTGTCTCAGTAACCCCCCCTTGTAGAAGTTCAAGTCTGGACAATAGTTTTTCAGTACAGGTAGTCCTCATTGAACAACCACTTGGAGCATTCATATGACATTGCACTTTACGATCACATCACTTAGTGACGGAGCACTATGCAATTCCTCAGAATTCACAAGATTAAAAGAATTCCAGATAATACTGCAAAATTTTATTTCTGACAACTGTTCAGATCCCACCCATGCAGAGTCCAGATGCAGCAAATCTGAGCAATTTTATCAGCCAAATATTGCCCAGATACCTCATGCAGACAGCTCTTGTTCTTCCTCACTCCCTAGTGGAGAGCACTTCACCCTAAACTGGGCCACTGAGGTACTGATATAGCAAGGGTGGAGGAGTATGTCCACTTTGCTCTCTGAACGCCAGAGTAGGTTTGAACATGAGCTGGTTCACATGTTCTGTCTAGTTCACAGTCAGTCTTCCCCCACCAATGTTCTAAGTGTCTCTTCTGCTGCTTCATCTCCCACAGCTCTTCACTAAACCAAGGAACCCCCAGAATCTGAAGAAAGGAAGAGGATGCCTGGAAGCAATCTTCTCAAGCACTCTGGCAGCCTCTGAATTCCAGAGACTCACCAGGCACTCAGCAGAACTCAGATTATTGAGGACATTCCCAAGTGTTTGTTGGAATTCAACAGGACTCATAAGATGAGTTAGAGCATCTTAATGAATCCACTCAATAGTGTAATGATCTGAAACAGTGACTAACCTCAAGCAAATCAGGAAGTGATTCAACCATGGCCAAAGACCTTGCACAATGTATTCCTTCTTCAGATCATATACCAGCTGCCCTGAGGTAAAGACCAAAACTAAATGTGTAAACCACCTGTGTAAGTCAAACCTGAAACCACCTTAGACAACCCAAGTTGCCATGGAGGCCATGAACTCTCAGGCTCTCATAGAAACCCTGCCCCCTCAAGAACTGGAGATAAAAGTACTCCAACATAAAAGCAAGGGAGACTCCAAAGCCAGGTCTGCAATGAGGTCCAGGAGCCTAGGAAGGGACTCTGTCATGCAGAAGATGGGAATACATGAACAGAATCCTTAATTTGTCCTTGCAACCCAGGTGTCACATATAGGCACTCATAGCTCCTTACCTTCAAGTTATCCCCACTTCTTCTCCCCTAACTTGGCACTGCAGTGGTATAGGACCTGAAACCTGGAAGGATAAATTTCTTATAGGATGACACAGATACCCTCTTCTGATTTTGGTAAAACAATTCAGATCCAAGTATTTTCTACAGCAAAGTTCTGGACAAATATAGCTTATTAAGGACAGGCCTGGCACTTAGCACCAAAAACCTGAGACTGAGACCCCAATCAACGAAGTCACCCAGATCTGGATTGAGGCAACTGGGTCACAAATGGTAACTGATATCAAATTACTGGCCACCTTTCCCCTGGAATGGCTTCTCCATCATCATCATCATCTACTGACCTCATAATCCCTAAGGACTCTTGGCAGTTTATAGGAAAAGGTTCACAAGAAACAAAATACAATAAATAAAGGTATACAAATAAAAGGTCTACACACTAATAAAAACACAGAATAAAATTAAATTAACCAAATCAAAATATAACCAAACTAAGATGGACTCAGGGCCCCTATGCTCCCTGGAAGAGCTCTGTTTTAAGCAGTTCCTGAAAGGAAGTCAGGGTGGGAGCCAATGAGATATCCACTGAAAAGCCATTCCAAAGAACTGGAATTAAAAACCCATTAAAAATCAGCACTGCTGAACTTCGACCATCCACAACCAACCTCCCTAAAATTGGGCACCATTAATAGTTTCTCCTAGGAAGACTAAATGGGAGGCCAATTCTAATAGGAGAATGAAACCCTGCAGATAATTAGGTAACAAACCATATAGGGTTTTAAAGGTTAATATTAGCCCTTTGCAAGGGAGTGGCCATCAAGCAGATTTCTCCTGCCCTCCCTCCACCAACTGGAACCACCCATCAAGGAAGGAGCAGAACTAAGTCCCCCCAACTCCCACAGACAGTCCAGAAGGATACCATGGTTAATAATATTGAAGGCCACTGAGAAATCTAAAAGAATCAGGATGGATACACTTCTTCCATCCAGGTCCCAACAAAAGAAGCCTACTAGTATACCTAATGACACCTCATATCTTGGCCAGAACCCTGACTCTAAAGAGTCCAGATAATCCATTTCTTCTAGGGTGCTCTGTCACTGATTCTCTACCACTGTCTCAATAACCTTCTCCAAACAGTGAAGGTTGGAGATTGGTCAATAGTTATATACCTCTGGATCCAAACTGGGACTCTTAAAGAGGGGGTGGCCTTGGAAGCTTGAATTTATTTAAATAAAGATTCTTTTCCCCTCTCCTTGTCTATGTGTATGTTTGTACATCGTTGTTGATACTGAAATAAGTGTACCACTGGCCAGTTAGGACTTTGTTTCCCTTCCCTTACATTTGAGAGAAGATCAAATGTATCACCTGTTACCAATACACCTCTTTCTTTTTGCAACAGAACTACAGTCTTTGCCTTTCCTTTTGTTTCTGATGTACCTAAACAAAACTTGTGTTGTTCTGATCATTTCTTGCAAGCCTTAGCTCATGCCTTTCTTGACATGGTACCATTTAGAATATAGCATATATTAATTGAAATTAATTAGTAGCTAAATGACATTTAAAACTTAGTGTATATTTAATTCAGAAAAAAAAAATCAGCCAAAGGGATGACAACACACACAAACACTGCCACTATACAATATAAGAAAACTATCCTGATTTTAGGAAAAATGCAGCAGTCGATACATGCAGAGTACACTGTACAATAGAAAGTAGTCTTTATGACAACAGATACCCCTGTTTGCAGATACCTACAAACACTGATAAGTGCCATTGAATTGTTTAAATCCACTCAATACAGACAAGCTATCTGAAACCAACAGCTGTTTGCCACTGCCATTTTGTAGGGAAATCAATTTTACACCACAGGTTTAGCTTTCACTTCAAATGTAATACACAGAGTTGGCAAATTCGACATCCCAAATTCTTTATAACTCCTAGAATTTAACACTCTATTTTACAAGAACAACTCACCAAGCCTGTGTGCTATGTCCTTCAAATTTGTCTCTGATGAAAAAAGTTAGAGAAATCCTAAAAATGCCTATATAATATACTTCCAAATAATAGCACATATCATTGTTCTAGACATAGGAAGTAAAACTGGATGACAAAGGCATGGAGAAATCTGTTCCCCATCTGAAATAACCTGTGTTTCCATTTGCTCTCATCTATAATAACTTATGCACAAACCACACAGCTTTCATTTTCTGTGCCAATAACTCCCAAGCTTTTTAAATGTTATTGTTGGCTCCTATATACCAGAAAAGCACAATCTGAAACCTTAGATTTCATACATTCTCTGAAAATCTTGTATGTGTAACTCATATTCCCCCCAAAAGTTATCAACAAATTGTAATCTTTAATATGGTAGAAGAATAAAAATATTAAAGACATGGGAGTAATTGTATTGACCATATTATTTAATGTAATTTAAATTAAACTAAATTGAAATCTCCTAATCCAGTCCTCACTTTGTTCTGGCAATACTGCTTCTTGAAGTTCGCCCCCTAACACATTACCTCTCCCATTGTGAATCTTTACAGTATGCAGCACAGTTACATAACTTTGGGAGGATGGGGTCCAAGCGACACACATACTCTTAAGAAGTACATAAATGAAACATTACCAAAGTAAGTGAAGCCATGTGATGTGTGGATGGGGTAAAAATAGATGGAGCGTTTCAAATTAAACAAATCATAAATTGTAGAATGTTAAATATATTCACAGATGCACACATGTATACTGATATATATGTACAGAGATAAACACATTTACACCAATATACGTATACTAACATGCA